TCAGAGTCATTAGTCTGCTCTTCATTAGAACGAAACAAAATCCTTTAACATATTTTTTCAAGGGCTATAGATTGTATGGGAAGATAAAATATATTCCTACTTCTAAATACCCTTGCTCATGGGAATACACCCTAAGAGACAGTGATTCCCAAAATAATCTTGAGATAGGTACACAATCATAGATATTCAATGCATAAAGAATAATTCATCGCATTACACAGAATCCCTTCCTTACTTTCCAGCTTAATTACTCTTCTTTGTTAGGTTGTCCCATTTATTCTTATTCTTCCTATTATTATAAATGTCATGAAAATATTAAAAATTTCAAATTCATTGGGTTATTTCATCTTTATGACAACCATATGTTATTGGCACAGAAAATATTAATATAATTCTTCCAACTTGTTGACCAATAAACTGAAGCCAAAGCAACTCATCTACTTAATTTTAAATGGCTCCTGTGTAGCCTTTGGTGTTGCATCAGGTCTTCCGCAGTATCTATTGTTCTCTTTGGGAAGTGATCTATGGCAGCACCTGATCTTTTCTAATTCCGCCTGCCTTGCTGGGCATCAACAGGCTTCCACCCTGAGCTCATTATTAATGCCGGTTGTGTCTCATTGGGCTGGTTCCATCCTTAATTTGATGATCTGGAGTGGCTCCTAGAGACATCTATTGAGCCCCAGTGCAACCAGGAGTCCTTGAGTTCAGTTTGGGGTCTCGTCTCTGATTTTTGATAACCTCTTCCTGTGTATTCTGTTAAGTCCCATGTTCCATTTTAGGTACATATAATTAAAATAATCCAGTAAAAATCTGATCCTACACAAGAGCTGAAATTCAGGGATAAACTGTGGAATTAAAATTTCTGCAAGTCCATTTTCATTATTGACATATTTAATGTTGGCAAATGGACCAAAACAAATTTGATGGCATAATGATATTTGTGTTATATGTATTTTACATTGAATTATATTAATAAAAACGTATGTCCAGAAAAAGAATAAGCATCTTAGTATGATCAACTACTTCTAGATTAATATTAACATTAATTTGCTACTCATTAATTCATATTTTATCTGCTAGTTCTTGTGAGAAAATATTCACTGACAGTTAAGTTTTTAAAAATTAGATTTATGGGATAAAATGTCAATGGAATAAATTGAGAGACTTCTATTCCTTAAATTTATTTTTCAACTAATAAAAAACTAACAAAAACCCAAACGTTTCTGTGCAAGTCTTTTTGAGGACATGTGTTTTCATTTCTCTTGGATAAATGCCTAGGAGTGGAACTGCTGGATTATAGGGTAGTTTTTAAATTTATTTGTTTGCCGTTAAACAAGAAACTGACAAGCCTTTGTCCAAAATGGTTGTGCTGTTTTACTTACACTTCCACTAATTATATAAGAGAATTTGGTTGCATTTTCCTGATATTTAATGATGTTGAGCACCTGGTCTTGTGCTTATTGGGCAACCTTCTTTTGTGAGGTCTCCTCAGTTCTTTTGTTCATGTTTCAGTTAGACTGTTCTTTATATTTTTGAGTTTTATGAGTTCACTCTACATCTTGGATATGTCCTTTGTCAAATGTATGTTTTGCAAATATGTTCTATTCTGTAGCTTGCCAGTTGACTTTCCTAATAGTGTCTTTTGATAAGTTTTCTCTTTTTTTGTAGGGCTATCTCTCTCTGCATCCTATCAAGAAATCTTTTCCAACCCCAGATGGCAAAGATTTTGTCCTATGTATTCTTCTAGAGACTTTATAGTTTTTGCTTTTATGTTTATAACCCACCTTAAAGTAATTCCCCTAGTTACCCTAGTTTGCCAACACAGTTACAGATGTTTCTGAGTCATAGCCCAGATTTGAAACTCACTGGTTTTAAATACGAATTTAGGAACAAGTATCTTTAACCTTCCTCACTTGCTTTCTCCTACCACTTCCTCTCAGTAAGTTGTTACATTATGGAATTGGTTCATATAACCTTTGGGATCCCTCACAATATTAACAAAACCTACAGCTGCTTCCTATCCCCTCAGCTTAGAGGGCAAGCGAGTGTGTTTGCCAAGCATCACAAAGACCTATAGGCTGAAGGTTAACTTTCAGGGTAGTCAGTTGACTACATGGGCATCTATAAGCTATGATCTGAATGGGCAAGGAGCCCTTGGATTTGACATGCGTAATGGCCTTGGTCAGTCACTGACTTATTGTGTGATTCTGATCAAGCCTCTTCCTCTCTCTAGATCTTAATATTCGAATGCATCAAAAGAGGGTCGTGAAACAGACCAGCTTTGAAATTCCATATTCCCTTCATACCTATGATTTTTAATATCTCACCATCAAAAATGAACATCTTTGGGTCCTGAAGGGGTCTCAAGGAACTTTAAGAGTTTCATATTACGTTGGGATGGTAACATCTTAAATTTTTTTTTTTTTTTTTAGCGGGGGGAGACGGAGTCTTGCTCTGTGGCCCAGGCTGGAGTGCAGTGGCGCGATCTCGGCTCACTGCAAGCTCCGCCTCCCGGGTTCACGCCATTCTCCTGCCTCAGCCTCCCGAGTAGCTGGGACTACAGGCGCCCGCCGCCACCACACCCGGCTAAGTTTTTTGTGTTTTTAGTAGAGAGGGGGTTTCACTGTGTTAGCCAGGATGGTCTCCATCTCCTGACCTCGTGATCCGCCCACCTCCGACTCCCAAAGTGCTGGGATTACAGGCCTGAGCCACCGTGCCCAGCCGGTAACATCTTAAATCTTATCCGCAAACAGATAAATTGGGATGTGCTGACAGTTGGCTAAGAGTGAGGTCGTGTAAATGACAGACGGTGTATGAACTGGGAAGGAAAGGGAGGCTGGGTTGTAAGGCTGAATAGTATTCCGTTGTGTGTATATAACAAATTTTCTTTATCTGTTCATTCATTGATGGACACTTAAGTGGATTCAGTATCTTGGCTATTGTGAATAGTGCTGCAATAAACATCAGGGCACAAGGATCCCTTCGATATACTGACTTCTTTTCTTTTGAATAGACACCAAGTGGTGGTATTGTGAGATCATGTGGTGGTTCTATTTTTAATCTTTTGAGGAATCTCTGTATTGTTTTTCACAATGGCTATTCTAATTTACATCTCCACCAACAGTGTACAAGGGGTCCCTTTTCTTCACATCCTCAACACTTGTTATCTTTTGTCTTTTTGATAATGTGGTAATAGCCATTCCAACATGTGTAAGGTGACATCTCATTGTGGTTTTAATTTGCATTTCCCTGAAGATTAGTGATGCTGAGCACTTTGTTATATACCTGTTGGCCATTTCTAAGTCTTCTTTTTTTTTTAAATTATACTTTAAGTTCTGGAATACATGTGCAGAACGTGCAGTTTGTTACATAGGTATACACGTGCCATGGTGGTTTGCTACACCCATTAACCCGTCACCTAGGTTTTAAGCTCTGCATGCATTAGGTATTCGTCCTAATGTTATCCCTCCTCTTGTCCCCCACCCCTCACCAGGCCCCGGTGTGTCATGTTCCCTAAGTCATCTTTTGAGAAATAGCTGTCCAGGTCCTGGCCTGGCATTGTAGGGGCCTGGCCACTCAGTCTACAAGTGCTAACCAGGAACCTGTGCCATGAGGGCCTGACTGGCTCTGGGTTTCACCGGGGAGCCTAGTGTTATGGTCTGAGCAAAACTGGGTGCTCACTTCCCTCCTCTTTCCTGCAAAGTAGATATTTCTCTCTGTACTATGCTAGGTAGGCTGGAGAAGGCTGACGTGTGTAATGTGCAACTGTCCTTCCTACCCTCTTCAGCGTGTCTTTTCTTATTCCTGTGTTATACTCAGGTGCTGTAATCTCTTACTTGGTTTCATAGCACTGTGAAGGTATTGTTGTACATGCATAGTTGTTCAAATTGATGTTTCTGCATTGAGAGGAGTGCTGACAAGTCCTATTATGCCATCTTGTGCCATCTTGCTGATGTCACTACTTTACCTATTTTTTGATGATGCAAAGAGTAGAGAGAACAGTTTTATTTTCATGAAATAAATGATAAGAGTTGAAGATGAACTAGAATATCTACATGAGGCAGGTATGCAGGTGAAGAGGGGGTTTGATGTTTTGGGGTGTTATTAGGCAAGAAGGTATAGCTCAAGAGTGCACAACGGTGAGACAAAATAGTGCTGTAAACAGAATGGGATGCTTCCACAGACTGTGGGGATATTAGGTAATCAAAAAGTTAGACCATTTTTAATATGTGTTGCTATGAAACATCTGCTTGGTGAAATGTAAATAAAGGGTAGAATTGCATCTGGGGAGCTACAATTCTTTAAATTTGATACTGATTTCAGACTGTATCATATGGGTCATGGCTTCAGAAGTATTATATTATTCTATTATATTCTATTTATTATATATTTCAAGGTAATAGTGAAAGGAATAGTAACGATTCACTGCTTTGGAAATGGAACTTGGCTGGGGCATTGTGAGACTATCTTCAACGTTCTTGTGAGAAACATAGACTGGCCACTATGACAAATGAGAGTGGGAGAACATGGAGTATTATCTTTTGACTCAAGAGCTGAACACTGTGACCATTAGTCTATAAGCAAAAAGGAGTTTGCATTAGACATAGAGAATAGAAAACACAATTTGTTATTTCTAATTGTGTTAGAACAAGAAGGTAGGAAGGTAACTTCCATGGATGCTATCGAAGTATTTTTAGAGATGTAGTTCCATGGGAGGAAATAAATGAGTCCCTAAACATAAATCAATGAAATTAGTGACACTGCTTGAAAATGTCTAGGATATTGATTTAGACTTTTTATTTTTCTACTCTGTATCTTATAACAGGGAAAATAAAACACAAAAACAATAATCTGAAGTTAATGAAGAGCTTACTAAAACAGCAGCGTATCTTTTAAAAAAGTAGGCGAGGGAATATTTGAAAAACTGGAGTGCATGGTAAACAGCAGGCCCATCTGGCATGCACAGTAGGGTATTAAAGAGAACCAGCTTGTGAACTTACCAATCTAAGCTGCTTCAGTCAGTAATAAATCATGGACATCTGAGTGGGAGGATCCCAGTCCATTTCATGGAGAAATAAAAATCATATAACCTACCAAAAATGAATGAAAAATCACAATTAACTTTCTCAGGGAACTAGATACATAATTAAAAGTATTTTCTGCAAACTCATGGAAAGCTAATATATTGTAAATCTTATAAGCAGAAGCACTTAAAAATAAAATTATATAAATTTTATCATTTGCTTTTCCCAAAATGAAATAGTCTTTCTGAAACTATACTTGTAGTCAGATTTATAGCCATACAATTATAATAAAGCAGTAAGGATAAGATAAGGACCTCAATGAATATAACTGGGAGAATTTAATTCAATAGATTTTGTCAGACATCTTGAAAGTAGTTGAATATTATCTTGAAAACATTTCTTCAGTAGCTAAAGAATGGGTCAAGGATCTTGACTAATACCAATAGCAATATACTTAGTGTACTTTACTGATACATTTACTTTATATAAAAATGTTTGTTTCACAAAGATTTGATGCATATGTCATGGGAAAAATAATATAGCTAGATCTTCCCGACAACATGGTGTAGTAAATATGTTTTTGTAATAGAAATTTTATTTCTCAGAGGAGATGGGTTGAAACCCTCATTTCTTCCCTTTCTCCCTACAGACTTTACTCTTCTATTTACTTTGGAGTGTGAACTGTGGTTCTTGATAAATGAGTGTGTTCCACTTTGCTCTGAATAATAATTTTTAACAAGAGACATGTATGGGGTGCAGGCGGGTGGTAGAGTAGGGTGGAAGGACCTGTCATGCACAGACAAACGCATACAAAATCTTTGAGTAGAAGAAACAGCTACAAATAAGAAGATTATCTTTCTTTCATTTCCGTGATGACACTGTAGTTAACTAATACGAGAGAAATAATGCCAACCACAAAAATCTATCAAATGCTCACCGTGTTACATGGTCCTCTGTCCTCCAGATACATTATTATATTTACAAACAACCCTGCAGTCTATTCCATTTGACATATAAGGACACCGAATTCAGAGGAACTTTAGTGCTTTAGGGTAGGCCAACTCTAGTTACAAAGAGCTCCAAAGTAAGCTACTACTGTGGTTTTTCCACCTTAAATAAAGCAGATAATAGAGATGTTCACAAGTCACTAAACAAATGCTGCTCTCTCCTCTGGCTGATCAAATAATGTGCATTTTCCTCAACAGCAGGGCAGAGGGTCAGTTTCCCCTTCTTTGGTATTTCAAAGGCTTTGAGAGACTAAATTCTACACCATTAGAGATATACTTTCAACTTGAAAAGAAATTACCATATTTAACAGAGAGTGAATTACGTTAATTCATAACACCAAGAGGTGCCACAGAAGATGTCTTCTCCATAAAAGGAAACCGTAAAACATAATTGAATGAGATTATGAGGGACATAGGCTTATTATTTTTTAATTGAAACCTACATGATAACTTTCCATGAAACAAAAAACTGTGCTCATCTCTCAGTGTACATTACAAGTCTTCCACCTGCGGGGCTGTAGGGCTGTGTTAAGCTCTGTGGGGATCAAGGAAAGTAGAGAGAGTTTGAAATTTAAGTCTAATATATGGGGGGAAAAAAGAAGGAAGAAAAAAATAGGAAAAGCTTGTTTCTATTATGTTTTGGTTTTTGTAGGAGTAGAGTGCTTGCTTTTTATTACTTTATTTTTTTAGTCAAGGTCTCACCCTGTTCCCTGTTGCCTAAGCTCTGGAGTGCAGTACACACTCACGGCTAACTGCAGCCTTCACCTCCTGGGCTTAAGCGATCCTCCCGCCTCAGCCTCCCACAGTGCTGGGATTCCAGGCGTGAGCCACCATGCCTGACTGGAATAGAGGTTTTTGATTCAAGGTGACTAGCCTGCTCTTTGCTCAGGTCTCTTGGGCCACCTCATCTTCCTCAAATGTAAGGACTTCCTCACATATCATTCTCCCTTTCATGCTTGCTCTCCTCTCTCCCGCTGGAGCCTCTGGGATAAACATAGACTTAAGCAAACAACAACAACACAAACATCTCCTGGGAAAGAAACTCCTTCACTTGTTTTGTCTCACTGAAGCTAAAGCTCCTCTCCTGCATGCCTAGTCTAGGACATCATATGATTTTTACAAAAACAAACAGCATTAAATTCAAAGCCTGTGTACCATCTAGTATACCATAAAAGACTGGCTAATTCAGTCTTAGGGGTAGGTCCCTGTTCATTTCCTTACCTTTGGAATAGTTTATCTGATGCCCTAAGAACAGAACAGGTATTAGTCACCATCTTTGTTCAATGGCTTAAGTTCTCTGTTCTTTTCTTTTAGAAATTAAAAGCCTATATTTATCAGAAAGCTAGCTCCAACGAGTGTTCTGAGGATTAGCTGGAAATATGATTTATCTTCGTGTTAGAAATGCCATTTTATTACAAAATATTAATATCATCAAGCAGATAAAATACAGAGTGAGGTTAAGAATCATGCTGTATGAACCATCTAAATGTTACTATCCTCTGAAGTGAATCAGAAGGTGCTTTAGTATTAATAAATATAATAGAATACAAATCTCAGTCTAAAATTAGACACATCTATTTTGGATTAAATTTCTTAGGGTCCCTCAGATAAGCCATAATGATAAAGACAACAAAAAAAGTGAGTTGATAGCTATTAGAAACATTTTTAGCTCCCACGTCACATTTAGCTAACAAATAATGTTTTTATGTTAAGAATATACAATTCAAACACTATACATGTATTATATTTTAGTCATATTTTCATTATTACACTTTGTTTTTACATGTTTACTTACCATAATTAAATTGAAAAACTCTAAAAGTTTGCTGCTTCTGAGGAAGTTAGTGGTTACTATAAACCAGTATTGTGTGCTGGTTACCAAGTTGTCTTGAGTTTGGTAAGACAGACGCCTACACACATTACAAGCTGCACGAAGCGGTTTCCTTACAGATAGGTAACAAGGGACACAGGAGCCTAGGATTCATTGCCAGCCGGTCCAAGTCTCAGGAAACCGGCCCATGGCGGATGGAGTCTCCTCTGCGCATGCGGCACTCGCACTGCAACTGAAGGACCCGGAAAAGCAACCTGCCCGGGTTTTACATCATGGACGATGCGAAGCTCTGGACTAAAGCACTGAAGGAAATCCTGTATCTAGGAGACGGCGCCGGGAGAGGTATTAGAACAGAGAGTGAGCTCTTCTAGCCAGTTTCGCCTTATCTCAGGATGTGGGATTTTTCGAGTATTCTACAGTTATTCTTGAGAACTGCAAGTGAGAAACTGGGGAGAGCTGGGCCAGTCTGAGCCCACCTGGAGAACTATCCTGAAGTTACCACATTTGTGTTGAAATAATCAATGATAAAGAGTTAAAAGATAATCTTTTCATCTGTGTCATGTGTAATTTTATTCAAAAGAGTTTGAGTCACGTGAATACTAACATTAAATCTAATTTAGTTAAGCTTAAGAACTCATTGTTTTTATTCAAATATGAAGTTAAACTATGAACTTATAATAGAATTATTGATATGGCAATGCTGGTTATAAACATCTATTTACAATTCAATGAACTCGTTTATTGAAATCAATAAGCTTCTTAATATCCAAAAATGAAATTGTCAGAGGCAATTGTACATTGATAAGAGAGTTTTATTACTTCCCCAAATGCTGACACATGCAGTGATTTCAATGTAAGTATGTAGTTGACAGGTGAAAATATTTGCCTATCTCACAAAAGGTTTCAAATTTTTGTTCTGTTTTAACCAATCAGTAGCATGTCATAGTGACTAAATCATTAAAACTCTAAGTCAGACTCATTTCAAACACAGGCTCTGCTCCTTACCAGGTCTGTGATGCTGGACAAGTTCCTTCTTCTGTCTAAGCTGTAGTTTCTCCATCTGTGACATGAGTATGATAATTCTTACCTCATAAGATGCTGTTAATGAATAAACTGTATAATTCCTACAAAGCATATTTTACCATGTCTGGCAAATATTAATTACTCCTTGAATCTCAGTTATTATTATTATTACTGATTGTGGAAATCACCTCCTGTGCCCTGACGTTGAATAGTTTCTACATCCACCTTATCTGTATGCATTTTCTTATGGTAGATTAGAGATGGCTGCAAATTCTTTGATGCTCCTTCCATTGAGAGGTGGGGATTTGTTTCTTCCTTTTGAACTAGATATGGACTCTGTGACTGTTTAACCAACAGAATATGACAAAAATAATGCCACATAAATTTCTGGGTTAACCTTAAGAGACCCAACTATTTCAGATACCTGCTCTTGAATGACTGAGTCACCATGTGAGAGAACTAACTGACTATTCTGAAGCCAACATACTCTGGAGAAGAGGAAGCAACCAAGTATGGAAGTCCATGAGGAAAGGACAAGACTATTGTCCATTATCCAATCTGTGTCCCCAGCTGACAGTGAGCAGCCACTTGCCTGCCATGTGGTTAAGCTATTATGGAAGCTGATTTTCCAGGCCCAGTGGACCCTCCCCAGCTGAAGATAAACCAGCTTTATTGAGCCACGCCCAGACTACAGAATCATGAGTACAAGAAATGATTGATATTGTTCTGGAGTGGCTTGTTATGCAACAACAGGTAACTGGAACATTTACTAACATGTTGATGTTCACTCTTAAATCCCATCTTTTTGATAAAGCATTGGCCAAATATTTTAGCACACTCTGATGCTCCCTTTTACTATATTCTTATAGCCTTTGTGATCTATACTACTCTTTTTGTTATTCACTCACAAATATATATATTATTTTAAAGATTTCCTTTATGTAAGCTATAAGTATTGTGTAAGTTGTTTCCTTTGTGTAAGTATATTTAAGTATGTGTATATGTGTATATCCACATATATGTTAATATAAACACACACATGCACACACATGTAAGTGTACATACATACCTTCTTTTATAACTCTGGTAACACCTAGCACATGACTTGGCCTTGGTACATATTCAAATAAATCTTGAATAATTAAATAGCATATGTAATTTGCTTTGCTCTTTCTAGTACTAGCAGTTCACTCTCAATCTGTTCCTGTTTTCTACATTACGTTGACATTTTTACATTAAATGGTATTTTCAGAACACAAATGTGAATAAGCTACCAGCCTTCCTTAAAACCCCGGGGTGTCTTCTCATTGGTTTGAAGCCACATGGAGGCTGTTTTCCACCATTCTGTGAGACCAGGCATGGTGTGATGCCTGCCTATCGCAGCAGCCTCATTATGGACTGAATTCTGTGTTTGTATTCTGGTCGCAGGGGCCTCTGTCAGACCCTCATGGCTGGCTGTGCCTCCTCTCATTTGGGGGCTTTTGTGTGTGTCCTTCTCTTGGCTGAAGTGTTCTCTGTGCTCTGAACACCTTCTTTCTGTCTTTAATTGTCCTGAAGCTATTCAATCTTAAAGACACAAGTTACACCTCATAGAGACTTTTCTGATTCCTCTACTGGGAAAGAATCCCTTTTTCCTGTGTCCTACCAATGATTTTTAGCTATATGGTAAATCTCATATACCATTTATGATCATACATTTTTTCCACAAGTATATTAGAATTGTAGCAAAGCTATAACAAAAGGCTCCTAATGAGTGAGGCATGGTGGACTTTCACCCAGGAGAAAGGTTAAGGGTCACCAATTAGGAATATAACCCAGATGAGAAAATTTTAAAACAAACAAATCAATCAATTAGACACTTTTATAAAAATAAGTCAGGAACATTTGAGAGACATACTTGTGAGAGACTAGTTCTTAAAAGTATCACTCAGATAAAGTTTTTGTTCAACCTATTTTAACCATTAAATTTTAGCAGGATCCATGTCTGAAGAGCCTTTGTATAATTCACCAACTCAGTGATATTAACTCACTGCCTTCCACATAGAAATTATATGAGTATGTGAGAAGACAAGGCTTTTAGCTATTCCATATAAGCAACAAGTCAGGTTTATATATTTGTTCTGAATTAGATAATAATCAGCCATCTTCACTTAAAAAAGATGTTTTGTGCCTTTCCCAACCTGTCTCCCCAATTACCCTCTACTGAAACTTAATTCCTTATGTGACCATATTTTCTTCCTCTTTCTTTGCTTGTCATTATTCTCCCTTCGGTTCTTAAGAATCATATTCACTGGCCGGGCGCGGTGGCTCAAGCCTGTAATCCCAGCACTTTGGGAGGCCGAGATGGGCGGATCATGAGGTCAGGAGATCGAGACCATCCTGGGTAACACAGTGAAACCCCGTCTCTACTAAAAATACAAAAACTTAGCCGGGCGAGGTGGCAGGCGCCTATAGTCCCAGCTACTCGGGAGGCTGAGGCAGGAGAATGGCGTGAACCCGGGAGGCGGAGCTTGCAGTGAGCTGAGATCCGGCCACTGCACTCCAGCCTGGGTGACAGAGCGAGACTCCGTCTCAAAAAAAAAAAAAAAAAAAAAAAAAAAAAAGAATCATATTCACTTAGTATATCTGAACCTTTACATATCTACCTTTCATACTTGCTTTTCAGATTGTGCCTGCCCACCTCTAATTATGCATGTATACTTTGGCTCCCGTAATCTTTTATTCTTTAAGACAATAAAAGGTTTTATTCTGTGGTCCTCCTTAAATGAATTCTAACATCACTCTCACTTTCTCTACTACTCAAGATTGGCTGGGCAGGTTCATTCTCTTTGCCAGGCTTCAGTTTCATCAAGTATCTCATTTGTCTTTTGAAGCCAAGTGTTGTTTTTACTAAAGTTTTCAGTAATAACAGGAACTATTTGTTTTTTTTCTTTATATCATGTACAACTTATGATACTATGCTTTAATGCTTGAAAGCTGGCTATAAGTCTACCGAGTCTAGCCGCTCTCAAATTAACCTCTGTATGTAATGTTAAAACTTAAGTAATTCTTTGCAATTGATATAACAGTTTTAATCACCCACTCATGATGAATCCATAGAAAAATGGGAGGTGGAACAATCATGCCCAAGAGGATGTTACATTTTTTCAGGATCCTATATTTGAGGGGTACAGTTATTGAATGATACTTCTTTGTGGTCTAAAGATCACAGAATCTTGCATATACCAGAGCCTCATTGTCTTTGGGCATGGAGTATGCTTTATTTGTCCATCTTCTTATTAACTGTGTGTATCCATCACAGCAAGGTGATACCACATCAGTTCCCTAAAGCATTAATTTAAAATAATTCTCGGAGCCTCTTTCCAAAACCAGGATGTTTGCTTTTTCCTTTCTCACCACATTAGCCAGTGTGAGCTCTGTGAGCATTAGGTTTTAGTTTCTATCTTTGAGATGAGTGAAATATCATCATTACCAGACATGAAGAGAAAATCAGACATGAATTTTCCAAACTTCAGTGTAAACAAAGTCCTACCTGATAGGAGCCACATTTCAATCCTATGAGACTATATCTACAACATTTCTGTAAGAAAAAAAGGAGAAAAACAAGGAACCTCTTTCAGAATTGAAAATAGTTACATAATTATAAATCTTACAGATGTTTATAACACCACACTATTAACTTTAGGTCAATACATTTGTCAATTTGAATAACAATGGACAACTTTCTAGGAAAAAAAAAAAACAACTTACCACAGCTAGCACAGTAAGAAACAGAACTGGAAATATTCCTTTGCCGACAAAGGTAATTTGAACTTGAAATTAAAACCATTCCCACAAAAGCATAGGTGGCTTCCTTGGTGAGTTCTTACAAAAATTTTAGGAAGAAATAGTGTCAGTCTTACACAAACCCTTACAGAGAATAGAAAAAGAGGGAACACTTTCTGACTTGCTACAATTAATGTAGTTCAAGGTAAATCAATGGAGTTCAACTCATTAAGTGATAAAGGAGAGAAATCATTTGGTCAATCAATTGTTGCAGAAAAAAATAGTAAAATTCAACTCCCATTAATTCTTAGTTAACCGGTGTATGGTTTGGCTCTGTATCCCCAACCAAATCTCATGTCAAATTGTAATTCCTAGTGTTGAAGGAGGGACCTGGTGGATGGTGATTGGATCATTGGGGCAGATTTCCCCTTGCTGTTCTCATGATAGTGAGTGAGATCTCACGGATCTGGTTGTTTCAAAGT